TTAAACTTTTCAAATTCATCTCCCAGGCATGCATGATACTTACGTACTGACACATGAAAATTTTGGGAGGAAACAGCGAGCTCGGAAACCAGAAAAGCTGAAGTTTTGACGGAGTATCCCCCGTTCAAGTGCAATTTAAAAATTTCGAATTCAGTCCCCAGATATGCATGATTCTTACGCATGGGCGTTCAAAAGTTTTGTTAAGAAAATTACTCACTGAACAGCTGGTTCATTTTCAAACAATTAGCCGGTGCAGCGGCTGCAGGTGCGAGGATGCGTTTTTTGCACGGTTTCCCCGTAGTTTTTTGTCGCTTACGACACTGCTTTCCCGGCAGATGTTTCTAAGCAAAAGAATTGAGACTAGCTACTCACGAATGTTAAAAATTATTGCAGTGGTCGCAATCCGTGCTCGAAAAATTCAACACTCTAAGTGCTTCGATTGTTCATAAGTGAGCGGAAACGTGGATGCTGTTTTCATGTGCATCTGTCGAAACGCGGACTTGGGCCACGTTCAAAAAATTTCAACGCTCCAGCTGCTCTAGTTGCTGAGTCACATCAAATTTCACTTGTTCGTACGTGGGGCGTACGTGAGGCATGGAGGTGATGTGAAAGTTGTTTTCACGTCCGCTTGGTCAAACGCCGTCACCAACAGCTCCCTAGCTGTTTCAGTTCCGAAGTTTCAAAACTATCTACGTGGAATTTTAACATGTCCGCATTTGAGATGCAGAGGGGCTGGAAAGCTCAATTTACTTTCACGGGCACATCAGTGGGCGACAAAAAAGGCTACAAAATTGCAGTTGTTTGCAACTTGTTGGTCAGCTTAAATTTGGAGCTTAATGTGTTCGTACGTGAGACCTATGGGCGCGTGAAGGCCGAATTTAAGATCTTTAGGTTGGACGTGACCAAAGAACGTTTTCGTGAAGTTTCAGCCTTCTAGCTTGCGTCGTCCCCGAAATCGCTTCTCCGCCAAAAAAAAATTTCCACGTGCCATACGTAGGAACCACGTGGGCGTGGGCGTCCATTTTAAGGATTGGGACCTCCACATGCGCAAAGATCAAGTTGCAAAAGTCTTAAACTTGTGGCTGTTGCAGGCCTCGAATGAAAACACTGCAGACACACAGAACACACACAACCCTTCGACAGGCGTATTCGTTTTTGCATTGCGTAGGTTTAAAAACCCCTTAAAACCGACCGCTGAATAGAAATTGTTCAGTCCCCTTTATGCAAAATTTACGATAATTTACGCTAATGAGTGCACAAGGTGAGTGCAAAGCAAGAATCATTCGTATAATTAATGGTGCAAAAACGCATGATCGCACCAGCAACCTGGTGCGATCCAACCTAGAATTTTTTCACCTCACTTCTCTTCCTGGAGAATACCGAGTTTCTGTGGAGCGAACCGTCAGTTGTCAAATGATCTGTCAGCACTAAGAAAGCATTTTCCTTACCTTCCTACCTCCATCCACCCTCTTCTGATCGCATGCCCTTCGTTTTCAGCACTCCACTTTTACTTTATACCTACTGATTTGCCAGGTGAATTCATGAAGGATTTGTACAACTGCACCGAATGCATTTGCACCGAGGTAATATCGAAATTTCTGTGTGGTCTCATCAAGATCACACAGAAACCTCGTATTACCGAAGTAAATGTGAGACATGCCTAGTGAGGTCTTGATCTTGGCGTGATCTAGTGAGGCTTGCAAATCAGAGTATTATCGGACGTTCTTTATGTTGTTCGAAGTGCGATCTAATTATAAAATGAGAAAAAAAGGGAAGCGGGGTGGTACACGCAGTCAGCAGTTACCATGGCTTGCACGCTAAGAAATACTTGATGACGAATATAGACCAC